CAGAGCAGCAAATAACAAATGCTGACAAGGTTGTCGAGAAACTGGAACCCTTATTCACTGCTGATGGGAGTGTGAACTGGTGCAACCATTATGGAAGGCAGTATGGTGCTTTCTCAAAAACTTGGAAATAGAAATACTATTTGACCCAGCAGTTTCACTACTGGGAATATAAAGAAACCAGAACTGCCTTGCAAGCAGATATATGCACACTCATATTTATTGCTGTTTTGTTCACAATAGCAAAGACATAGAAACAACCCAAGTGCCCACCAACAAACGCATGGATAGAGAAGCTGTGGTATCTTCACACAAAGGAATACTATGCTGCACTGAAAAACAAGAAACTAATGAAATATACAAATTGGGTGACCCTGGAGGACAGCATGCTGAGTGGAATATTTCAGTCACAAAAGGACAAATACTGCATAATGCCACTGTTGTAAAATGGGACTGACATTGGGGTTGGGGACAATCTAAGGGAAAAAGGGATAAACAATGTACACTGCATTGAAACAGATGAAAGAGAGAACTGTTTAAAAGGAATATTAGGTATTATATTCATGACAAGAGTCCAGATTAAGGGCTACATAGTAAAGTGGAATGAACGTGGGGGTGGGGTGTGGACAGGATGCGGAATTGTATAACAATTAATTAATTTTTTTTTTCTTTTCAAAGAGAAAAGCAAACTGGGAGGAAGAGTAGGCAGGGAGGATAACATGCAACCAACAACGAATGAATGGAAGTCCTAAGTCTCTAAGTATATATGTGTGTGTGTGTGTGTACATAAAATGTGTATGAATTGTATAAAACAAAAAGTACAAGAACAAAAAAATGTATATATATATGATTATATGCAAACCAATAAACATGTTTGTTTTATTAAATAATTAATTACCATTGATCTGTGGCTACTATTGCCCCATTTTTTTTCAGGTCCCCATTGGATCTTTCCTAATGCATTCTCCCCAGACTCTTGCTTCTTGCTCCATTCCAGGCTCAGCTAGATGCCCAGCTTGGCCTACCTGCCATGATGGAGTTTCCATGCTCAAGACATGAGGTGCTTTCCTCAGTCCTGGATGCTCGGGTCAGCTTCCAGGTGTTGACCACGGCTTTGTTCCGGATCCTTTTCGCCCTTTCACAGACAGAGATGAGCACACATTCAAACCCTGGATGCTCATGCACTTGGACAAGAGAGAGCCCTTCCCATACCCCAGGAGCACTTTCCAGTGACCCTAAATTCTATGTCAGCTTCTACCAAACCACTGAGACCAAAATGACTGTCATCACACAAATGAACACGTGTCCTACGGCCAAGCTCCTGATGAGCCCTGAGCCCGGAACCGGCTCAGCCGGAGGGGCTGATGTGGCTTCTTCAAGAATCTTCTCAGAGGCATTGCTACTGCTGCATTAATTCACATCACAGAGGGTGTCAGCGACTCCCTCATATACCTCAGGGAAGGTTGCACCATCAGGTCTTCTGGTTCACTGCTGTCAGCATCACCAGGTCAAATACAGAACATGTCCCTAAATATTGCATGGAGCATAAGTCTCAAGGAAAATCAACCCCAGCACCATCAAGTTGGAACCAACTCCTCGCTGATCCGTCAGAGGCTTGCTGAAAGTGAGGAGCCCCTGAAGCGCTTGCTACAGAAGACCAAGGACTATATAGCCTTCAATACAATTATATTCCAACACCAAAGAAACCAAAATCCTCACTACTGGGCCAATGAGCAACAACATGACAGAAGGAGAAAAGGTGGAAGTTGCCAAT